GAGGCAGATATATCTGACAGATGCAGGCTGTCTAACGGACCGAGCAGCATGGAGGCCTGGGACTGAGCACAGTGGGGTTGGGAGGCTCAGGTAAATGTAAACAACTCAAAGGAGGAGACAAAAAGACTTAAAAACTCAATCTGCTATAAGAACATTTCCAAATGAACAGATGGGGTGAACATAACAGATGCTGAGAGCACAGCCGCCTTTAACACTTGCTCATGACATTGCAAACGTTGACTGCCACTTCTCCAAATGCTTCTGTGTTATGAGTCCCTGCCAGTGAAGAGAATCTGTTTGACATTTAAAGCTTAAAAAGAACATGAAAAATGCTTCGACTTTCTATTGTGGCATTATGCATTTGCACTGTCAATGTTTTACTAAAATTAAAAAATGTGAAAAAAGGAAAAGATTCTGCAGTGTTTTTGGTATGAAAATGGTCACACCACAATATAAAAGCTTCAGCTGCTGTAAATCTCTCTGAGGCTACAGGTTAACGTTACAGCACTGTGTAAAGAATTGGTTTATTTTCCCCCAGGGTCAACATTATCCAGTCTCAGGGTGTTCGTGCAGCAGGCCGGAGTGTTTTGGTGTCGGCGACGAGTGAGTGACATGACTGGCAAACAGCTCGGCTGAAAGCGGCGACAGAGATTTCAGGACAAAGAGACAAAAAACAGGGTTTGTTAACTCGAGTCCTTCCTGCCAGTCCGTCTGCAGTGCTGCCAAACGGCTTGGTGATGTCATCAGCATGCCTCTCAGCCACAGAGCAGCTCACCGGCCAGGCTCCAACAATATCAACTCCATAAAAGGTAAACCATTTTAAAATCCTTATTTATAGTATCAGGACTTGTACAGAGTCGTGTTTTTTTTAACCATCAACAAATCCTACAAATAAAGATTCAATCATTTCCTGGCCACTGTATTTTTTACCCAACATGTCACAAACTGGAGGAAAACTTGGTGTAGCAGCAGGACAGTGTGTGGTCACGGTAGTGAACATGGTTCACTGATGTGTTTTTAAAATGGAGCTCTATGGCACAGAGGAAGGAAATACTTGTTAGTGGGAAACCTTCATTGATGGTTTTGTTTTTTCATGAGATTTATTGACAAGAAACACGCATCACCAGCCTAAGCTTTAACACGTTTTAGTACCTTTTGCTATAGTACATTGCAGATACTGTACTTTATATACTTTGTAATATGTTCAACTGTTTCCTGAACATGTCGGAAGGCTTTTGGTTCCAATCCTGGTGTGTGCAGTAATACATCAATCACTAACTTGTGGAACTTGCACTGATTCTGAGTGGTTTTGGTTGTTTTGATACACCTCCTTGTTTCTGCCACTAGGCGGTGCTCCTGGCCTGCACTTGTAGAACTCTGCTCATGCAGAGTTTGATATCCAGATAGTCTTCCTCACCAGCTAATTCTACAGTAACAGAGTAACAGAGGAGCAGAGCATAAATAAAACCTTGGAGAGGCATCTAAAGAACTGCATCACATGTCTAACAGGAGAGAGGAAGTGGACAGCTTTTACCAAATTATGGTTTAAATACAAAATCAAAGGTCCGACTAAGTGAATAAAAGTCATGAGAACAAGTGCTGTGATTAGAAACAAACAGGAACTCATCAGCTAGCTGTGTCTGTGCTCCTGGTGTTGATAGGGTTATTTCTATGGGAAACTCACCAGCAGCATTTTTCTGAGGATTAGAAAGAAGTTAGCCAGCAAACACTTCATTCTAGCATGTTTACCAATCACATTTTAAACTCACAAGACTGAACAATGTGGCCAAATCCACATACAGCTGAAGTCGAGCCAGAAATCGTACCGAAGACAGACGCAAAGCACGTGTACATATAGGTTTCAGCCAAACTAAATCCATTGTTAATAACATAACTGCTAGAAGACTCCTTGATTAGATGGTGGTCTTATGTCAATGGCACAACATGTGTGAAAAAGCAACAGAACTATAAACAAAGAATTTCTCACAGCTGTACACAGCAAAAGGCCTGTGTTACTTCTATCTGTGAAAGGATTAAAACAGTGATGAATGAGAAACATGTAGAAAACAAGACAATATACGACATTATCGTGTATTGCGATAAAAAAAAAAAAAAAAAACTTGTGCGATAATGGTGAATATCCTCACTTTGGTTGACTTGGAAAAGCTGTCTAGTTCGCCAACGTACAGTCCTTTATTGAGGTGCTTATTCATTTTGAATTGCCACAAGGGGGAGCCTGCATCTTTGCCACCTGTTACCATGACTGACAGCTCAGCTTGCCCACTGTATTCCCTCCAACCAAAAAGTTCAACCAGATTGAGGCATCTATTGTGATGCCATAAGAAATGGTTTCTTAACAAAATGTATGGTAAAGTAATTTCAGTGTCCAGTTAAAGAGTTTTAAATGAAATCTTTGTGATTATAGGAATAATATCGTAAACCAAAATGATTTTGTCTCAGGATAATCGTGACATAAAATTTCATCCCATGCCTAAAGATAATCTATTATTGGAAAACAGCACACCAGTGAGTTTTAACAGCCACAGGATTTTAAATGTTGAACCAAAGTCAGAAGCTATGCTGAAGACGACATTATGTGCAGACACATTAATGTATTCAATAAAGGACTTCAAGATTAAGTGTAGTGTGCAGCCCAGGAGACAACTGGAATAGAATTACCTCTTGAATACCTCCAGTTACTGGACCATGTGTTACAAATTAAGTATAAACACATAATCACTTAAATCGGTTATCTGAAATGTACCAAAGCCAGGAACGCAGACAAAGCACAGACAGAAGCAGTCATTACAGATACAGCTAAAACAGATAAAGACATTCAACCCCATGTCTTTACGTGGACACAAGAAGTGATTTTAGAATGGAATTTTGCCGATAGATTTTAGGCTGATTCAAGAGTACACGGGGCAAGAGGAAAGTCAAAAGCAGCCAAAAACAAGAGACAGATATTACCAAGTTTAACAATTAAAATGGAAAAACACCAAATTATGAACAAAGCCCAACATGCTTTATAGCGAGTCACTGCTTCAGAGACGGGCAGCAAGGCAGGCGGCAGCTGATGGTTTTACCTGGGGATGGCTGTATTAGAGCTTTCCCATCATCCTTTGAGGAACCTTTGGTAGAAGGGTCTGTTACAGAGAGAGCCAAGAGTCATGCTTCTGACAACAAAAAACAAATCATCGGGCCACAGAAGCTGTTCTATTTATAAACTGCACATATGCAAGTAGGCCTTCTTTGAAAATAGACCAGATCTCAGGAGACTAAACGCGTAAATAAACGCTCGACAGATGAAAGCGGGATGTGCTTTTCTTCAGCGAGAAAGAAGCCAAGCCGTCGGTAAGCCGGTAGGACGACATTCAGAAGCAATTTAAGGGGTTTAAAGCAACATTATGCACAGTAAACTGCATCGATCAGGAAGTCCATCAGCCTCTGTACAACCACGACAGACAGCTGCAGCAACAATAAAACCCTTACGGACTCATCAATACAGCCTTGATTAGCAGCGGCAGCAGACTGTTGCTGTGTTTACTGTAAATTCATAGGGCCGTTAGGTCTGCTGCGTAGGAGTTGGAAATGAATGCATTCAATCATGCTTACTGCCAAACAATACAACATAAAGCACTGTCAAATTCAGACTAAAGCAGTTTCCAAAGGCTTTACCTGCAGCAGACTATACTTGCACTGATTGATGAATTTATTAGTTGACCGGCAGGAAATTAAGACAATTTTGCTCATTAATTAAGCAGACGTTAAAAGTACTCCATCGATTTAGCACTGCACTGCTTTGTTTGCGATGGACAAAAAAAAGACATTGTCTTTTCTATACCACATACAATTCGAGTGAGTTATGCTAGTAGCGGCTGACGTAGGCTGGAGCCTCAAGCACAGGTGAGGAGTAGGCTACATAAGTCTGGTAAGCTCATTTCTTTCTAAAGCCACACGCCCAGATTCTCTTTCATTTTCAAACTTGTAGTCTTCAGTCCCAACTGACGCAGATCACTTGAGACATCTAAGATTATTATACTGCGCACATCAAACTTTTCTCTTCAGTTCTTTTTCATTCTTCACACACCCTACTTTTATTGCTTCATGTGTACAACCCAGTACAACATCATAGCTGCCTTCAATCAAAGACTGTCCGAAAGTGTGCACCATTAATTAGGATTTTGTCATCACACAGAACAGACACTTAAAAGCAGAGAATCCTTAGAGAAAGAGATTAGGGAGACTACAAGATGCAGTAAAACACTGATTGTAAACAATTACCATAAAAACTTCACAGGGTACCTTCAAGTCCAATAAATCCAATAAGGGTTTGGAACGGACTAGTATTTGATTAGCATATTAGATTGAGAACTGAGCTTGGATAAAATATTGACCAAGCCCAACAACAACTGTGAAACATTCAATCTAAAACTGACTGTTCTGTGGACAGGTCGAACTAATGATGACTGGTATTTGAGGAAGCGGACTGTGGAAATAAGTGGAGTCCCAAATCTCTTTCCTCTATTTCAGCGTGAGATTGTTCAGCCTGAAGGAAAACACTCCCCTGTTACCTCTCAAGGCTGTTATATGAACCCCTCAGTGGTAGTTTCGGGTTCAACTCTGAAGTGAAGAGCATTGCTTATTACTTTCTTTCGCTAACAAGATCAGAGCTGGTCAAAGCTGGAAGCACACAATGCTCTACAGTACCTATTCGTTTCAGCCGCAGCGCCTGTAAAATGGGATAAATATGTTAGCAGGAGGTTTAGTAAAGAGCAACAAGGCCTCTGGCTACAGCCCAACTAGGAGGAAAGTGGAGGAGCATTCAGCAAGTGACAGGCTTCCCTCTTTAACCACCGCCCACACTATTCTCATGTTTAAATAGTACCAGAAAGACTGACAGGCGTACACACACGTACACGTACAGCTCACCACCACACACCCCAAACACACACAACACACATGTAACACACCACACACAAACCACAACACCCACACACACACACGCGCACGGAATCCTCAGAAACACACCATGAAAGTGCTAGCATGCATTTTATCTCTCCGACACACACTGCACAATTTTATGCAGCTTGTGTGTCTTTATTCTTGCAAAAAAGAGAATACATTTTTTGGGGGGGATAAAACCGGGTAAAAGCAACATTTAACATTTTACATTTTGTATGGATATGTTATTTTAGGGTGGGAAAGTTACACAATGTTGCTGTGTTGCTTATGACTTTTAATGCAGAAAATTCCTGCAATGGTAAAATGGCTCAAGGTTGTAAGTAAGTGCACAAAATTAGCTCTGCATAAAAGTCTGTTGAAAATTCCTTTACTAAAGTGAAGTAAAAACAAAATTATTTTTTTTTCTGGGTGAAAGACAAATATAGATAGATATAAATATAAGATATAAATACAAGACATAAATATATAAACAAATATACAACATGAAACAGAAAACACCCAGATACAAATGAAGTATTACTGCAGAAAAAGATACAAAAGGAGGACATGCTGTCAAGAAATACTCTCCCAGTTCCCACTTGGAAACAGAAAAGAAGAGAAGTACTAAAGAAAAGTGAACAGGCTAACTGGGCAGGCAGACTTTCATTCAGGAGGGCGGGAGGACGGTGGTGCAGAGTTGTCAGGGAGATGTTCCGGTACTTTGTGAACACCAGTGTCTCGGTCTACAGTTTGAGTCCAATTAGGAGGGTATGTGCACTGAATTCAGCTGTCAGGTTTCTATCTGACGATGGTTCAGTATGAAAAGGCTAATCTGTGGGAACGTAGAAAGGAGCTGGACGGCCCAAGACAAAAACAACTGGAACAGAGTGGATTAGAGAGAGGACAGTGTTTCCCAGCAGCATTTTTACAGCGAAGGAAAAGAGACTAATGGAGGGCGGAGTGGCAGTTTGAGTTGGATTTTTAAAAAGCATTAATTTGATCAATCTGACATTGAAAGTAATATGATCAAACCAGTACTTTTTTCACCTGTTTGACCTGGGAGCTCAAGTTCTTTCCTTGTTATAAACTACACACAGTAAGCAAAATATATAGAATGAAGTGTTAAGTAGATTGAAAAAAAAAAAAAACATTTTCACCAGGAACTAGTGAATCTTACCAGAAATCATGTTCATATGAAGTTAATGAAAGACATGTGCGGAGTTAAACACATGTAAATGTGTCGCTGGTGGGGTGAAGTGAAGACATTTCCATGCAAAATGAAAATGTGTGTTTAATGCTAAATGTGACAGGAGGGGAAAAAAAAAAGGAGAAACTAGAGGAATATGACTGGAAAACTTGAGTTCCTGCAAAGTTTGAAAACACCGTCTACATGCTCCCACTAGCTTATATTGTGGTATCTACATAATCTGATCAACTATAATTATGTAGGCGACAAACATTTACATGATATCACCAAGTGACTATGGTCCCCATACAATCACTAAGCAAGTGGAAACAAATGTATTGATCACATGGGCCAAACGTGTATCCAGTTAATCAGGATGAAATGGAAAATGACTTCAATCCCAACCAACAGCTTTGGGAAGACCTGGAACACTGACTGCCAGCTACAGAGAGCACATCCCTGCAGCCAGGTCCCAAAATCTTATGAGGCCAATCCCAGAATAGCGGAGGCTGTTACTGCGGCAGCATGCTTTTGGAAGGATAGCTTTATCACATATGAATGTTCTGCCCCCGCACATTCCACTGTCATGGCACTAAGTCACATTCCAATTCATTAGTCCAGAGAATTGAAGGCAGTTCAGACCAGGACTGAACCCAACAGGCAAACATGAAGCAGAGGACAGCACTGAACAGAGCCCAAGAACGAGTGGAAGAAGAATCATCCCCGGAAAGCCACACAAGCTGTCAGGATGAGAGGACAGAGGAACTTTCAAACAGAAGAGGGAGGAGACAGAGCTGCAGCTGAGATGTGAAGCAGGATGCTGTTGAGTCTTGCCAAAGAGACCCTAAAAAACTGGATCACAACACCAACTGACTCAGCTACTGTTCAGCTGTCAGACTGCTAACACAAACAGACAGCTGGGTTTGTGGCTGGCATGGATACAGACAGAAGACAAGTTTCGCAGGGGAACACACTCACACCAAGGAAACATGCTCGAGTGGTTGAGAAGGGAGGTAGTGAAGAAACGCTTCTTTTCGCATCAAAGCCAGTTTAACCTAAAGAATTGGACTGAATTCATTTTGTTTCTTACAATTGATTCTGTTTTGGAGGGGTATCCACAGTGAAAGCTTCCTTTAGCCTTTCTTCTTGAGTCAGTTCTTTAAGAGGAGGCACATTTGAGACAAACTGCACAGTAGAGGGAAGATGAAGCACAGGGGATGCACAGGATCGCCTTTGTGTGTACAGTAATTCGAATGCACATTAGCGCTAACAAGAAGCTACAGGTTTACCATCCGTTGGGTGGTTTAAACCACCCAGTTTTGTGCACCAGTGTGGTTTGTGTTTTCTCATCTATACAATTACCAGTTTTCCCATGATGCCATCCACACTGGCCTGAAGGCATTGTGAGGCAAATTAAATTCATTCAGCTGGATTAGAGGAGTTTACCCCAGTTCCTTTAAATTTCAATTTAAAACATTCTTCCTTTTCACCAAGTATAGTTTTGCTCTTATAAACTCACAATGTAATAATTCTCTATGGATTAATAATATTCTAGCTAAAATAGTAAATTGACATACAATCCACAAAGAAAACATATGCATATATACATATATACAAGAAGTCATATGTATACTGAGTAAGCTTCAAACTCTTTTCCCCAATTACTTTCCAGACCTGGGCCTGCACTATTCGGAATCACATCAGTGCAGCAGTTGTATTACTCCATTATTTCTCTCACCGTGTTACTGACATAGGGATATCCGATCACAATCATTTAAATCAGGGCCGCACTTCTTAACTGATCTGTATCAGCTATATACGTATAGCCTGATCCAATACTTTGTTTTATGTCAGCTGTCACAAGTGTTTTTACTTGCAAGCTTTAATGCAAAACAAGCAGTGAGAGCAGCCGTCGTCAACTCTCCACTCTGACTCTCCTACACACTGCTCACACATTTTCCCCTCAATGGACTGCAGAGCTATTCAGTTTGTCAAGCATATAAATTGGATTGATTTGAATAACTTAAATCTACTATCTAGGACTTCTCTAATCTGACAACATGTCTTTACACATTTAATTGTGCAGCAATTCAGTCTTCTAATTTGGTGATGCAAGCTAGGAAGAAATTAGGAGAGCTTGTTTGAATACAACAGAACTTCATATTAATGCAGCAGAATTGGCATCAGACTGAATAAAGGAATGACTCAATATTAAAACAATTAATTGTGCATCACCACAGCCTCCATGCACGATTCCAAAAGGGTCTGTGTGACATCTTTACAAGCCCTGGGGCCTATTTCACAAAAGCAATTTGCAAGCCATGTTTGTGCGCAGATTACAAATGCACAAGTGTCACAGATACATTTGTACAATGTGGGTTTCAAATGCTCATGCATAGGTTGCTTGTATTTATTTTGACACATTCTGTAAATAAAACAAGACAACTTGCATTGCAAATGTGTGCTCTAGGTTTGGGTGTAAACATTAAATCAGTGAAACACAAAAACATAACTGTTAGCATAATAAATGCTTTGACTCACCGGGTCTGCAGCGTAAGCCGTCAGCAGCCAGCTCCTGTCCCTCAGGACACACACAGGTGTACTTGGGGGAGTGTTTGTTGATTTGCGGCGCAGGCAGACACATGTAGCTACAGCCTCCGTTTACACCTTTCTCTGCGCACCAGTTAGTACCTGCACAGAAAAGTCAACAGTTCTGATTACTTAGACAAACATAAAACCTGCTAATTAAAACCACATTAAGCAATATTTAACTTATTAACACTGAATCAATCAAATATAATGTTAAACCTGACCCCACTGAGAAGCAACCGATTTGTGGTACAGAAATCATTCACTAGTTGATAACTAGTACGTGGACAAGATTGTTTTGTCTACTGTTACGTTGGTATCACCTATTGGCTCCTTCCTTCAATAAATCTCAAACGATGTCTCTAAATGATTTCAGTGGCCATTAGAGCTGTGTCAATTATGACTGCAGGATTACAGCTAAAACGATGATTATCATTAGTACTCCCTGTACCTGAATCATGTGTAATTACAGTCATTTCTGATTAACTCTCTCTTCATTAACCTTCATTAGGTCAATGCAGCAGCTACTGTAAGCCCTGAACTGAGGTTGCTGTGATGTCACTGAGCCTGCAGGACTTCAGCTCAACAACCATTAACGTTCGTCGTTTCTCCTGCCTCTCCCAGCAGGCTCTTACCCGACAGCTGGATCAGCTCGTGGTACACTATGATGTCCTGGGGGTCATTCAGGTTGCTGGCCAGCGTCACCACGTCAGAGCCGGTGAACTTGTTTGCGCAGTAGATGGCTTTATTTTCACCATCCGTCCAGAAGACTCGATCCTGGAGAGAGGAAAGAAAATGATAGCTCATTTTAATAACTATAATGCTGACAGCGCTGTTTCAGAGGCCATTTAGCAAAGAAAGCAAAACCGTAACACAAAACTATCAGGTTGTTACACTTATTTTGGCTTTAATGATTGATGATCTTTGGTTAATTGGCACCATAAATCAATGTTGTTGCCATGGTTACTTTCAGTAGACAACTGCCACCTAATCAGAAACAAGAATTTCTGTGGCCATGGTATTAATATTTATATAATGTAAATACAATAATCCCTCATCATTACAATCAATTCTTTCTTCAGCAACAGAGACTTTTACAGAAATCTTTACACAAGTTTAAAAAAATGCATGCACGATATTTGATTCTTTTCTTCAGTCAGATGTTCAGAAGGTTTTCCCTCACAAATGGGTGCGTGAGGACTTGTAGAATATAAATACTGTGCAAAACGGGGATGCAGATATTCTACATCACAAATTCAACCATCTGTGTTCCTAAGACCATCTGTGTGGCGTTCCTGTACAGCACTTTGCAGGGGCCACCTTTCAATCACATTCACGTCTCTCCTTGGATTTTCTGGTCGCTCTCTGCTTTTGGTCTTTTCAGCCTTGGCGTCATTAACTGCTCATGTTAACATGTTTATCCCTAAAAACACTGAACTTCTTGTGCAGCTGAGGATTGTTCCTGTGAGGGAACTACAAGACTGCAAGAGATCAGAGCAGTGAACAGGACTGGACTGGTTTGATCACACTTCTACCAGCTCGGAAAAAGAAGCAAAATGTAAACTGTTACTAATTGTTACTATAAGAAGTGTTAGTGCATGCTGTTTAGTTGAAATCACTTTGTTAAAATTGTGCATCAGTGTTCAGATATGAGCTGCACCTCAAGCACAGTGCCTGCCTGTGAATAAATGTGTCATCTGTCTGAGTGAGAGTGAGTGAGTGGGTGTAGGTGAGTTAGAGACACAGCCGGAGAGCCACATGCCCATGGTTCTATGATTCAGAAAGATGTCAAAGACACAGTACTAATATATGAAGAATGCAGCCTATATACGCAGATATAGTTGTTAGTACAAATATATATCGTTACATTAGCACAATATGATGCAGAATAAAGGTTTGGACTTTTGAATCCAATTTCTTTACTGGGTTTTCTTACACCCTCAATTTCCTTTTACTTATTTTTGAACCAGAAACTGAAATATTTTCAGGTCTCATATACATGGTTGGTCTTGACAGCAAAAAAAAAAAAAAGGACACATATTGGACAACAGAGTAAATGCAAAAGACGCAATGAACATGTAGACTATGGTTTGATTTGCATTTGCTAGGCAACCACCCACGAGAATGCAAATTCTTTAGTATTGTGTAGTACAGTACCAACATTCATTAAAACAGTTTGCCTTCCTAATTTTAACGAGATCAAGAATGAAAAGAAAGTACAACCAATCCGAGCCTAAAAATATTTCTTCTAGGTGCGGTGGATTCTTGTAAATGTTATTAGGAGCACTAGGAGGAGCCGGAGGAACTTGATTTCCCATCTCATGTACTACTGTAAGGATATAGTCAACGTTTCAGCAAATATGACAGAAATGTTATTCTTTCATAAAAGTTACCTACTGCAGCTTTAGAGAACTTGCAATCCTAGTACCTTATTGCATCTTTAACACTACAATAGGTGTTGGCTTTTGGCCTGTGCCACACCACTAAAGACAACGTGTATCATTTTATCTCCAGACTGTCGACACCAAGTGACACAGACAAGACCAAATCAGCGATATAATCAGATCAACAATCATAACACGTCTACCACCTTTACTGTCAGAGAGAATGTGTGAGAGAATATAACAGCAGCTGTACCTCAAACACAGTGAGAGCGAAGGGATGAGCCAGGTAGTCTGGAGACTGCAGTACTTTCTTTCTGTTGTCTCCGTTCAGGTCGACGCTACAGAGCATGTGGAGCTTAGAGTCAACCCAGTACAACCTGCCTTTGATCAGATCTGGGAGGAAGATGAAGGGTATGAAAAAACAATAGAGGAGAAGGTGAGAGGAGTTGAGAAACGATAGGGGGGGGGGTGGGAGAAATAACAGGAGGATGGATTATAAGCGGGGGAAAAGATGATACGGTGCAGAAAAAGACAGGAGGGAAGGAATAATATAACAAGGTGAGTGAGAAAAGAAAGGAGCGGTACAAGGGTGAAGACCAGATGAACATTAAATGAAAGGGTGTTTACACAGGACACAAAACCAGGGAGTTGAATGAAGAATACAGGGATGAAAGAAGAAGAGTAAAGAAAGAAGATGATGCATGGCAGGCAGAGATAGGGAGATAGAAGACGGGGAAAAAAAGAAAAAGAAATCAATACAACATTTCATTAACAAGGACGGATCGATGGTTTTTCTAATGTTGAGGATGAGAGTACAGGAAGAGAAAGAAGGCTGAATAAAGGAGAACACTGGATTATATGATCTGGTCGGGTGTTGGATTAAAAAAAAAGAACCCACATATTATTAGATACACACATTACACCAGTAATGTTCAGTGTATTCCAGGAGTGAGTAAAACCAGTGACACAAGGTTTTAATGATCACCCGGGGGGAGATGCAGTGTCCATTCTTTTTAACTTAGGAATTTTTAAATAAAAAAATGCACTGAGCAGGAGTTATAAAGGAGGTTGAAGCATTTAAAAGAAGTTAATGTGGCAGTTGGAAACAGAAGCACTGAACAAAATATGGCTCACAAATTAGATCTAAGCACTAAACTGTCAAGCTAGGGCTTGGCCATATGACCTAAAAATACAATTTTGCCGATGTGAAATACCTCAGGATTTGTAATGTCGTATCACTGAGGCCACTTTCGCTCATCGAATGTGGCTTGGGGTTTATTTTAAGCCCAAGCAGCTGTATAGCACTGCAATAGAACATTTGTGGGTTTTTTTGCATTGTTTTGTAATTTGTAATTAATCAGTTTAATTGATTTATTGCCCAGACCTACTGTCAGCTAAGGTGAAAGTGCTTAAAGCGGTTGAAGAGTCAGTTAAGGGGTTGAAAGTTGAAACAGAGGTAGTAAACAAAATTGAAGTGGCAGATGGAATTTAAACACTGCAAGCAGCTGAAATGTCAGGAAAACTAACTGCTGAAAATCAGCGTACATGTCCAGGGTGCCAACAATCATTTAGACATTAAAAAAAAAATAGTCCTGATTTTACCTCTGGCATTTGCAATTAATTAAAGTCTGCAGTCTGAAATAGACTGCACATTTCAAACTGTAAACTACACCACAACCTGCTTGAGGGATTACCTATATTTTCCAGAATGCCTTTTGACCACCCACAGAGAATCAACAGAAATACTGTATAAATGTGGCTGACTAATTACCAGATGTTGGGTTGAGTCTGGCCAACAAATCACTGTAGCGTCATTAATTCATACATGCTCATGTTCCTAATGTGTGGAAACTGAAATGTATGAAATATTGCTAATTCTGTCTTCAGTGATAAAAATACACAAAACTAAAATGAAACAAAAGCAGGGGACCACACCAGCAGCTACTTAACTGTGTTAGTCAATGGGTGGATCAGCAGTGAGATGAATGTGCAGTGATGATGTGGATATACTGTTGATAAGTCAAGTCAAGACTGTCTGTGTGTGTTAGTGTTCCTACCCAGGGTGATTCCATTAGGCCACTGGATGTCTGACGCCACCAGAACCTGTCTGTCCACTCCATTCATACCAGATTTCTCAATCTTGGCCGGCTCTCCCCAGTCAGACCAATACAGAAACCTACAGGACACACATACACACACGTAAAAACAGATTTGTGAATTTACGTGTCAGTTGGAGACAAAAGGTTTTCACCTGACATCAAAAGAAGCTTTCCACCCACCCTGACAGCGGATCCACAGCAATGGATGCTGGTTCTTTGAGGCCTCTGTTGAACAGAACCTTCTGTTTGGTCCCGTTGAAGTTGGCTACAGAAATGGTTTTGGTGCCGAGATCAGACCAGTACAAGTTCTTATAGATCCAGTCCACAGCGATTCCCACAGGAGTCTGGACGTTGTGTATCACTTTGTTGTGTGTGCCGACTTCCACTCGTTTGTCCAGCACAGTGCTGCAAGGAAAAAAAACAGTGTCACTACAATTTGAAGATTCAAAGCGGTTTAAAAGTTTGGGTCAGTTTTGGCGGTATTTGGCAAGTGAAAACTTGACTTGATGATGGTGTTCGTTGAAAAGTCAGAGGATCACCAAACTCATAGATGGATGTGTGCAGCAATCCATCTTAAGCTATCTAGAGTTATTTTATGGGTTGTGGGAAAACTTTAACCCGCTTGTCGTGTTACAGGAAAGGTCTGAAAAGTCACCTGCCTCTGGGCACAATGAATGTTGGTACCAAATTTCATCATAACCCATCTTGTAGTAGGAACAAAGTGGTGGACCAACTACCTGACCAACAACATAACAAAACTGCTATCCAGAGAGCCACACTACTAGTGTGGCTACAAATAGCCTTGGATGCACTTTCAAAACAACCTACACTGAACATTCTTTCAGTGTAAACAACAGGTTTTAATACTGACAAATTATGTATGTTTTACATAAAAATCTATTTGAGCAAACTTGAATGCAACTGTAGATCATCAGCCATCAATTTAGATGCATCTTTGTAAATGTGGGGACTTTGTTGTGTTCCTTCACCTGCTTCTGTGTGTCTGTCTGGTGTGTGTAAACTACCTATAAATGGCCTTCTGGCCCAGGTCAGCCCAGAAGATCATCTGTTGGTTAAAGTCTGCATCCAGAGCCACTGTGTTCCTCTGCTGCTCTACAATCTGAGTGTACTCCTTTCTCTCCAGACCCAGGCGACGGATGTCGCGGCGGTTAGTGAAGATCAGGCAGGGCTCCTTACCTGAGGATAGAACACACTCGGTTAAATAAGAGAAAAGAAAGAAAAAGTCAATCTGACAACTCTTCAAAATGTACCCTCACGTTGTTCTGTTCCACTTACTAACGCTTGAGACTTTCACACCTTTTACACTTAAAGAATCTGATTGAATGGTCTTTGTTTAAAACATGTTATAGAGTGGGGGCTCTTCTCTTCTTTTATATTCTATTCCGTCATATTCAGTAACCCAGTGACCAATTTGTTAGTAGTGTATAACCAGAAACTATTACCATTACATTCTGGTATGATAGAAGAGTAATTATGTGACAAATAAGGGTTAATAGGCTCTGATGACAAATCATTCGGAACACTGAGGCTGAAGGATACAATGATGTCTTTGTCAACAAGCAACACAATAAAGTCTTTTTACTGCAGAAACACAAACAGCATGTGATCAGACTAGAGGATGACATCATCTCTAGCTGAAAGTCAACTCCAGAGTCATCCTGATGATATCGGAGAGCTGTCATTTAATAAAGACCACACAAGATATTGGAGTTTCATTTCTGCAACTTGAGATTCTGAGCTGCTCTCACTGAGGAAGAGTGAGTGTTTGTTCACTTTACACATTTAAAAAAAAAGTATTGAGCTGAAAATACCTACCGCACTTTATACTTTACTCATTTCTGACCAACTCTGGAAATAAACCATACAGAGAAAAATAGACTTCGGGAGCTTGTGATCTCTATGGCAGTGCATTGTCAGACAGAACAGTTTTTAACCGTTTAATGTTTCATTAAAATACCTCTAACACTACAATACAAGGCAACAGCACCAAAAATGACGGCCTCCAAAATGACCACACAGTTGAATCACAACCTTTCTAAAACTGTTGCAGTCAGTCTGGTGTGGCTCACTGCAGGGAGCTCAAACATATATATTTGTACTACATAATTCGACTCCATTTTGAGAGTTTTCTTGAGCTTAAATCAAGTTAATCCTTTTGACGGTTGTGTAAGGTTGAGAGGTGCAGTTGTTTTTCAGTTGTTGACTCACCAACAGCTTTGCAGACTCCGGTGGTCGGATCCATCTGGTAGCCGTTGTGGCATTCGCACTTGTATCCTCCCTTCAGGTTGATGCAGATCTGACTGCAGATGCCAGGGTTCAGACACTCATTGATGTCTACGCACAGAGAGACCGAGATGAAAGGGGGGGTGAGGAAGAGAAAACAGAGGGAATACAGCTGGTATCTGAAATGTTTAATTAATCAAGTCTGCTGAATGCTTCAGTTGGGGTAATCAGACGTTTGCACACGGCTCTGCTACAAAATCTATTGAAATCCTGTCTAGACCTAGTCTTTCTTTAATCAAATTACGCTTTTTTCAAAACAATTACTTTTCTGAAACATTCCCATGATTCCTATTGCATGAGATTGTACACTGATGTGAGCTTGGGATGCACAAAATGAAAATTAAACCCAACTATAATTGCTGCTGATGTTTTGCCAGAACACTCATCAGAATGAAATGGAAGTACAAATGTTTTCAGGACTTTAGTGGTTATTTTACACTCGGGAGTAGATTAAGCGCCTCTGTGCAACCAGTGGGGTTCATTCCAGATGGGATTACAATATCCAGAGCGGTGTTTGAGGCCAAGATTGGCTCAATAACAACTGTGTCAGATCAGTGCCTCCTGAAAATAGAAAATCCAATCACATTACACACTAAACCGTTCGGAGGCCAGAAGAGCACAATGAGAACGTGTATCAGCCTTAAGCGAAATATCTCTAAGCCACAACACCAGTGTACAGTACGTCTGACCCAGCCTGTTGCATCATAGGTTTCTAAGAAAGACAAAAATAGTCATAAATCTTCAGACTGACAGTCTCTCTGGTCTTGGTGTTTGCTCTTCAAACCATGCAGAAAGACAACCTGCCACTAGGACATTCCTTATTGTGGATTCATTTTGATTGAGTGATGTTTGAAGCAGAAATTTCTGTCTGAACTGCTTTTCAAACAACTGAGGTGTATTGATGCCAAGAAACAAAAGCATGTCAGAAAACAACTGAGTGGCGGTGTTTGGTTTTAGTTTTTTTTTTTTTTTGAAATACTGAATGGCATCAGAGTCTTATAAATATGGTAATGTTGAAAATATTGCAGATGTTTAGCTTTCACTAAAACTGATTACCGGTAAACCAAGTTCATGCCGATAATCAACAACTTGCAGGAAAGAGTACAGACAAACAAAGGAGGTGTTGAGTTAAAATAAAAACATCTTTTTTTTCCTCCATGGATGTGACATATTCTACAGACACGGGCACTTAAACTGTATAATGTCAGTAAATAAACAGATCCTTTTCACTGTATTTTTGCTGGGAAACACCAGCATGCTTTGGGTATGGTTTAACGCTAGGTGTGTGAGAAAAGGCTGTTCGCAAGAGAACAACAATGGCAGTTGCCAAAGAGGTTAGCGTAGATGCTGCTAGCATCAGTTATGTGGGAACTGGAGAGTATTTCTTCATTGAAAGGAGATCAAAAAATGGGACTCAAAGTTTTTTTCTCTTCTCCAGACTGACTTCAGTAAGAGTTTGACTATGTTATATGGCACGTTCATCTGATAGGTTCAAGTCTGCTTGTGGTAGATGTTGATAGACAGGGGGTTCTTCCAATCACCTGCCCAGTATTATTTGAAAGTTTCTGCCCTTTTCCAATGAGGGCCTCCCAAATGGTTGTGTGTGACCACAGTTAGCTTAAGGTCTTCATGGCTCAGCTCAGTTCCTAGTAACAGAGACCTGACCACAGACGCAATTATATTCAGTGTAATCATGTCAGGTCCTGTCCTGGGTGAACATGCAGAGCTTCGTCAACATCAGAGGAGATAAATGCAAATGGGGAGTGTGAACTGTAAAGTGAAGGAAAAATAACATGTATGGCTGCTCTTTTCAACTGCTCTTTAATTGGTGGAGCATCATGCTGCTGCCTGTGCTCTGTCTGTGTGGACTCTATTCAGACCAGATCTAACCATCCTCAGGCCCTTTCTTCAAAATAATTCATATATCCCTGTTGGTTTTCAGGGAGGTTTTCCTTGGGTCCATTTCAGGTCCCAAATTTTGGTTGTCCCAAAATGATGCCTGAGAAATGGCTTCATCCATTGGTAAGGTCGATGGCAAGTTATGAAGTAATGTTGACCTCTTTTTTTAACATTGAAGCTACCTACCTCCGCAGGTCTTGTGGTCTATGAGCTGAAGTCCAGGTGTGCAGTCACACTCAAAGCCAATCACCATGTCTTTGCAGATGTGAGAGCAGCCGCCGTTGTTCAGGAGACACTCGTTTAGATCTGAAGCACATGAAGAACAGCTTTGCTATAATATCTTAAAACAGTTATTATGCAAGCAAGACACAAACTGTAGATACCATTTTACCATGTTAAAACCTATAAAATACAACATCTGAGATTTCTGGTTTTATCTAGACATCAATGGTTTAGTCAAGAGGCCACAAAAGAGGGGTGGTACAAAGACACAGTCTGGATTTAAACTGATGCTGTTGAGGAAATCGGGGTTAGGGTCCAATAAACATAATTTAACCCTGAAGTAATATTATAAAAAGGTTACATTTTCTGATGCCTTTTGTGTGCTGCAAGATTAATCAGTGTTAAGGATGTTAGCAGGTGTTAGTAATCCTGATCAGATGTATTTTAAAGTTACACAGCAAAGATTAAAGAGCATTTATTGTTGCATTTGAGTAGACCATTTCTCAACAAGGCAACTCCTTTTGGCTGCTTGAATTAGTTATCTCATTATTTCAGTCATTAAACTCATTATACAGAACTCATGACCTTAGGAAAGGGCTGAGGAGAAATCTAAAAAACGCACATTTTTATATTTTGTTATCTAAAACTGCTCCGGGTATGAAGAGGCAGAAAAAGTCCCAAAAGTTAAATCTGTTCTTGGAGACAACAAATACTGTAGTTCAAGAAGCAAAGAACTCCCCAATGGTAAATATGATGAGATACAAACACAAAGTTTATAATTCAACTCAGAGTCCTCTAGTTAAAAAGAACAAGTCTTTAACTTTTGACAAGATAGCAGCAATTTTTGTTATTGGAGAATTTACAAAGATACAGTTTCACTTTGTACTGCATGCTAAAACCTTTTACTCTCCATGTTCTTTGATTAAAAGAGAGCAAGTTCTCACTTCAACAGAACAGACAGTGCCTATTCAGCTCATCTCCATTTGTACAACACTACATTTAAAAAAGAAAAGAATAAACAGATTTTTTGAGTTGATCCATTAAATTGATCATATACATGACATGGTAGACCTTTTCCTCTGACTAACTGTACTACTAGTACAATTCAGAGTCAGACGTTTAGTATTCAGATTGTGGAAAGCGTAATTGCTTCTGAGTTCTTTGATCAATGAGAATTTTTTATAAGCAGCATTCGTTCTCTTGCGTTGAACTGCAGACACATTAAAGCTGCAAGAGGGACGATGAATGTAAAAATCCACATACCATCATCTTAAATCTATGTGCTACAGAGAGGAACATCATCTCATGGACACTCCCCTGCCCAAAGGAAAAGACATCTGAACCTACAGAAAAGCAATGTGTCTGCTGAACAGTGCCTGAGAGACCTGTCCAGAGAAATCTAAATGTTGGAGCTTCTTTCTTGCTCAGATATTTCCAGTTTCATGTTGCTGACATTTAGAGCTGCCAGCTGGGGAAGCACTACACATTAACAAGTGACATTTGCAGATTACAGTAGACAAACACACTGTGGGTTGATCAGAGCTCAAACTACAAGATCATTCATATTTATACAGATTCTAGTGCAAACGTACGCACGTAGTATGAATATACAAAAATCAAACATGTTTAATCCTTGTGTGTTCTGTGGCTCAGTTAGGAGAACTGTGGCAATATTTTAATAACCTTCTTAAGCGTCATCTCCATCGGTCTTAAAACAAAGCTTTCCAGCAAAGGCACACCACTCTACACCTCTTCAGTTATTACCTCAGACAGTATCCCAATTCATTTACGGTGCCCAGAAAATCCCCACTAAGTGGCTTTCAAGCACTAAACCTGGCAACCTCGTCTTTAAGGAAGCTGCACACAGTCACTGCTTCAGACTTTGCCAAAAAAAATTTCAGCATGTATAGCAGGTAAATGTATACCTGTGGGGACAGACAATGGCCACAGAGTGGGATGTTTTCCCCAGGAGGACAACCTTTGGTTTTAAGTTAAAACAAATGAGTGTGCTGCAGCCCAATGATGTTTGTACAGATGAACTATCAGCACATTTTCCATTTCCACATAAACTGAATATTCTAGAACGTCTGAAACACTGTAAAAAAACATTAAAAAGTTCAGATTTGGGAAGTCTATCTTTCACAGAGCAGACGTAAATCTTTTGAATTGAAAGGAAATCATCACGGACAAATGTACAGTGTTTCTGGCTTTAGCTCTACTAGTAGAAGATACCATTATAAAGATAACTTTTGAAGATTATATTTTTTCTCTTTTACTTACTGCATTCTTTTATGGGTTCGTCACTCCAGTCAGGACAGTCTCGGACCTTGTTGCACACTTTGCTCATCTCGATACACTCCCCGCTGCGACACTTGAACTTCTCTGGCCCGTTACACTGAGTCACTGGCGAGAAATTCAAAGAATTTTACATGTCAAGGGCAGTCGCTGCTTACACACAACATTCTTTAATATTTACATACAATACCTTCCTATGAAATCCAATTACACAGCAAGTTACCAATGCATCACTGCATATCAGGATGTAACCTCTTTTACAGTTGTCCTGTCTTTGAGCTAAGCTAAAGCTAAGTGCCTCCTGGATCTATCTCCGCACTTGTTGCAAAGACATGAGTAGCATCGATCTTCTCATCTTACTTAAATTATTTGCTCTTCTTGAAAACAACCTCACTTCCAACAACGCCCAACTATTCCTTTAAAAAGGTTGACAAATTCATTAAAAACTCCACAAGAACTTTCAACGTGCGAGAAAACAAGATAACAAAAGGTAACAAAAAAATGTTTTAGCTTCACTATATGTATTCAGATTTTGGAAAGGTTGCAAACAGTCTTTGAAGGATCAACGGATCCTTCACTGAAGTCACTACAACAGGTAGCTGTATCTTTAAAAACAACAATCTTTCAGCTGCAGAGTGGCAATCTGACACAAACTTGTCACTCTATACAGTGTACTTTCAAAGCCATGTTTTATACCACAAGAGCAAAAACAAACATGGAAACACAGGAGTTTTTTTTTTTCTCTCTTTGGTACATTCATCCTGTTGATGAGCACACAAAAATAGAAAGCATTAGGACACCCTGAAGTGGACTGTGACAGCATTAGATGTGTTTAGAAGGCTTTTTTCTCATCACGCCCAGTGAACAAACACTTTGCTCTGGTACCTGAGCACAACCTGAGGGGATTTTGTTGAAAAACACATCTGGAAAAAGCATAAAGACCATTTACATGCCCACAGCATCTACACTGACACACACCCGTAGCTTCCGAACCTCGGGACAGCCTGAGGTGGAATGTGAAAAACAAACAAGAAAAATCATGCTTCATCCGGCATGGCCCTCATCATATTAAAACAGTCATTTGTAAAGCTACACACACACAAACACACACACACACACAAACAAACATACTGTCTTTGCAGTTGACTTCGTCTGATCCGTCGGTGCAGTCTCTGTGGCTGTTACACTGTCTGCTGCCCAGGATACAGTTTCCATCATCACATTTGAACTGATCCGGTCCACAGGTCCGTACAGCTGCCAACACATGAATGATTTGAATTTTAATATTCAATTCAAATCTAAATCATTAAGACCTTTATCAGTTTAAAAAAGCCAAACATTCTCTAGTTCCAGCTTCTCAGGTGTGAGGATTTGCTGCTTTCCTCCGTTTCAGGTCATTGGGAACTGAATGCTTTGGGTTTTGGACTGTTGGTCAGATGACACTTAAAGTGGATAAGTAAAGATTTATTATAAAGTAATTAATGTCAAAGTGCAGCACATAATGGATCACTGCACCCACTGTGTTTTTTGCAACTGAAAACATGTCCGAATTAAATCTGTATCTTTATGCGTTTCATCTGATTTACAACAAATCCTGTGAACATTACAATACTGGACACTTGCATGTGAATGATACAGAAGTTAATCTGCTTTTATTCATTTTTCCATTCTATACATTTGATTTCAGGGAAACATCACATCCCAAAACTCATCAAAAATAATCACAGAATCCTTCATTGACTCATTCACTTATCTTAGCATTGAGTATTGTCACTAAACAGGATACATATTGCCATCAAAACGGATACAGAATGTTTGAAAACTCCAATCATTCTGCCGTAGAAATAAAATCTGTGGTTATGATCTTAAAATGCTCTATTTCCAATGTGTTAGAGACAGCTGGTGTGTACATACGACAGTTGGCTTCATCACTGCTGTCCTTGCAGTCCGGGTCTCCATCACACCTCCACTTCTTGTGAATGCACTCTCCTGAGCGGCACTGCATCTCGCTGGATGAACACTTGGCTGGCGGCGTCGGATGACGGCCGCAACGAGTCGGAGACTCATCTGACTGGTCCTGCAGGGGACAGAGACCAGATGGTTCAGAGGGAAAGATGATTTGATCATGCCTTGCCTGACTTATGGCTGCAAGATTTCTTGCTTTTGATGGGAATGGATAGCTGTAATCTTAACGATAATTTGACCATATAGATGAGAATGATTCTCCACTGTGTTTTAGCCAACATTCAGTTTGTAAAAGCTTTTCCATTTGGTGTTCACTTCCTGTCATCAACATTTGCTCTCTTTGAGCTATTTCCTAGCAGGGAGCCTTCAATTTAAGTCAAGACTTTTACAGACCAGTTAGAAAGAAAAGTTTCATCTGGTATGGCCTTCTGATGGAAGAGAAACATAACAGAACAGACAGAACATAAACAGAAAATACACACATTTAAAAAAAAACCAGGTACAGAGTAAGAGTAGGGCCAACACTCACTTTTTACACTTAAATGTTTTCTATATAACAAATGGTATATATATATATATAACATACAGGGTGTTAATTAGTGAGCTTCAGAGGTGATGGTATGGGGACTTTGTTACCTTTGGACAGAGCCAGGCTAGCCGTTTCCCTGTTTCCAGTCTTTATGCTAAGCTAACCAAACCAACTGTAGCTACTAATTCACCATACAGATATGAGAGTGGTATCAATCTTCTCCCCTAACTCTTGGCAAAAAAGCAAATAAGCACACGTCCAAATCTAAGAAACCACTACAAGGGAGATAGAGAGTTTAAACTTTACATCCAGGTTTTTCCTTAAACTATTCAAGGACTGTAATACAATAGACATTTTAAGAGTTTCCCAGGCTTTGCACAGACAGCCACTGAAGGGAAGAGCAAACGTCACCAACAGAGGACCCAAACAAAGACAGCCATGGCCCACCCATGTTTGATTGACAGGTGATCTGGGGGAGTGCACGGCAGAGAGCTTTTAGGACTCAGATCTCACTGATGATTACCACTTTAATTAGAACTTAAACTGGGCGCTCAGACAGAATGGGATCAAGAGGAACAGCAGGAAGTGTTTCTCACTCTTTCATCAGCTCAGAAAGTCACTGACTCATGTGGGAGCAGATTAATGGACTGTGAGAATGTGTGTGTGCGTGAAGCTCTGTAACTGTTAACACTGACACAGGACCAACTCGGTGTGTGAAAGGGAATAACAATGACCTTCCCATTGAACGCTGCGTTTTAAAATATTTGTGGGTGTGAGCGCTTGCATCAGTTTCTTCATTTCCCTGCGAGGCAGTCACAGTGATAACCACACAGCCAATTAACAGCTCCACAGCAAATCGCCGACTCAGTGGAACTTGTTCTGCCGTGTGTGAAAAACGTGTTAGGAGTGTCAAAGTCAGGTGTGTGTGTGTGTGTGTGTGTGGTGAGTGTGAGTGTGAGTGTGTGTGTGAGAGATTGTGTGTGTATGAGGCAGGTCAATAACCACAGGGTGTTGTGAAAATTTAACTTGCAGAACCAGTGTGTGCGTGCCCCAGGGAGAGAATACAGGGCAGTTCATTGTAGCGACGCAAAATCTACTTAGAATATGAGAGGGAGTGCGTTTGTGGGTTTGTGTGTGCTGCCATGTGGGATACTTTGAACTAGTATCTTCCTTGAAGTCCTACGGAACGTGTTTTGGTATTTTATGTCATAAAATATAACTTTGGCATTGAAACTCATTGTATTCTTTAAATAAAAGTAATGTATAAGCTCTGTTGGGCATTTTTGTCTCTCTGCACATTGCTTTCATTTTTTTTGTGTAATTTGAGTTAAAATGATTTCAAAGGAATGAAGTACAGAGTAAAGCTGTGAGGCTCAAGAGGGGGCAGATGATCTGCGGAATTTAGCCTCAACTCTAAATTGAGATATGGTTTCATATATTCAGAGAAAGTTTTAAAGTTTAACTGTAGCCACTGCAAGTGGATGTCACACACAAACAAATCTAAATGATGCATCACACTGAATTTAGTTTGGTGGGAGGTCAGCATAGATGAGTCAAACTTACATTCCCTGATCCAAGCACCTTGCCAGATAATTTACTCTTCATTTTATTCAGAGTGAGCCAAACGTATAGCAATTTATCATGAATTACATGTTTGTTCTTCCTTAGCTGTCCTTGCTGTCACCACAACTTAAGCCTCAACCTTAAACTGAACCCTCTGCAAGAGGATACACTTGTCATGGATAATTTTGCTCAAGTCTTTTGAGTCCAGACTTAAGACTAGAGGGGGCAGGGCTTTTACTGTCAAGAGCCTGGAGCGCTAAAAAGATCTGCCCAAATTATTGACTTTTAAAACTTCTTAAAGTAAAAGTTGCTTACATATCCCCTCTGAGAACTAGATTATTTCTAACCGGAGCAGTCTTTCAGCAGGGCTGAATAGCTTCTTTTGCATCTAGTTTAATAAATGTACAAGCATTTTAGAAAGAAGATAGTATGTCGTTAACAACCAGGACTGGATGTGGTTTAAATGCATTTTCCAAAGTTCTGATGAGTTTAAAGATTTTTATTCTGTAATGACTTATGTTTAGGCAATTTTAAAACATGTTTACTAATAAGAACATCTTGAGATTTTCATTTAAAAAGGTGCAGTACTTTGATTCAGTGTACTGTGTGTTAGACATGGATTGCTGCAATTCAGTGTACTCGCATCAGTGACATCCTCTCCCACATCTTCTTCCCAGTGTAGTGTCATCAATTATCCAATCAAACTGCCATTAAGAATTGTATGGTTGAAACAAAAAAAACAAATCTATCCATCACTGTCCTCTGATGGTGCAAGAATGTAATCTTTTAATTAGTGTTGTAATCTGCTTTTTAGAGTGTGTGTATATCTGACTTATTGTGTATTTGGTCTTTAATTGTGTTTGTTACCTGGCAGTCGACGTCGTCATCACACACCCAGCTCACCGGGATGCACGATGAGTTTCCACACTGGAACTCACTGGGACCGCAGGACGACGGAGCACACTCCACCTCATCAGAGCCGTCGCCACAGTCGTCCTCGCCGTTGCACACAAAGTTCCGGGAGATGCAGCGCCCGCTGGCGCATGTGAACTCGTTTGGAGCACAGGTGATGTTGCCTGGAGGCAGTAGGGAGGGGAGGAAGAGAATGTGAGAGCGCTGTCAGAGGGTTAACAACTCAGTAGCTAATTTAAAAGAAATAAAATAAAACCCAACCATTTATCAACACACACACACACACACACACACACACACACGGGATCATCACACAGGCCACTTTGATTATACGATAACATTTCTATGCTGTTTCACAAGAGTTAGTGTCACTCTCCAGATGGCAGGCAGGTCATCTGGAAACCGCACTCTTCATACTGATGAGGACACATATTTTGACGCATCTACAGCTCAGGCCTTTAGCTGCTGCTGCTGCTCATCTGAGTTTTTGAATGATGTCGTGTGTGTGCTTGTGTAGTACACAACTCAACCACTAAATTTCCTAGTGCGGATTCCTATTCCGATTCAGGAGGTTTTTTACCAGGAACTGAATTATCCATACAGGTTACCTCTCCAAAACTCCAACGTTGTTCTGCATACAAAGGACTCCCTAGAGGGCCTGCCAGCCAAACTGCTGCTAACGTTAGCTTAGCTTGTTTCTCTGATAACTTAAGATCCAGATGACTAGAATCCTTCATCTGGTTAAAATGTGTAGCTAAAAACAACCAAGATCTGAAAGTGTATGGTAAAAATGTGGCTTAAAACTGGATAAAAAGTCAATTTGTGACTAACCTATGACTTATGGCTTCTGTCAGACAACCACAATGCATGTGCAACAAGGATATGACACCATTGACAGGCAACCGGTGAAACGCACCATTACCTGAATAAGATGTAAAGATTTCTTTGGGTATGAACATTGTTGGGAACATTTGGGATAATGCAAGTACAGAACTCAACATTTAGAACATAGGTCTAGTGTTTAGACATTAATAGCCGAAATGTCACATATTATCTCTCTATGGTGCATAAAATTAAGTAAACAGCCACGCAGTCTTCAATTACCAACATTTGGAGCAGAATGGGTTGGTGGTTGCTCAGTGATGTGATGCTGTCAGAGGATGCCTTTTTCAGATAAGTCATTGTGTCACATATCTGCCTATCTAGATGTGTAGTACAGGTTTAAGTGCCGTTAGTAAGAAGTGGAAATGTCAACAGCTCAGCCATGAAGTGGGACTGCTGAGTGTTGAAGCAAGTAAAAATCACTTGTCTCTAGCCAGACACCTGATTTTAGTGAGGCAGAAATCACCCCCCTTACTCTCCATGGATCAAAAACATGTTTTGCTTTGTTTGCTTTTATTCCAGAGTAACAGCTAATTGCACCTATGGTGGGGTTGGAATGTTATTCGTTTTATCATGAATATTAGATTTGCCTTTATTTATAATTTGGTGACCAATGTGTGCACTTTGTAACTTTAACACTTGTATGTTACCGAAAGTCTGTCACTTTTGATTACATTTTTTCCCCAAACACAGAGTTGCAAATGGCCTGCGGAAGCAAACAAGAACCGTTCATCAGAAGCTTCATAGTGTGCGTTTGCATGGCCTAGCAGCAGCACTCAGATCACCATGCACCGTTCCAAACTCTGGTTGGTGAAGCATACTTAAGTTAAATGGTGAAGGAGTTGAAATGTGCCCATATACTTTTGAATGGAGCCTTATTGCAACGCTGCACAAATAATTGTCACAACAGGCATATCGAGACCATGACTGTAACATGTCTGTGTTTTCTACACTAGTGCTGGTAGGAGGGAGTGGGGGTTGAATGTGACTGAAAGATGCGACTGGAGGATGAGAGAATGGAGGAGGTCAGTCATAAGATTTAGATTTATGTTGGCCTATGGCAGCTCACTTTAAGAGGTATCTGGGGTCACTGCCTCAAAACGTGCATTGCATCACAGCAATAAAACATCCTGCTACAGTCCAAGGACAACATGGGCGCAGGTTTAATGTAAGCAAACAAGACAATTAACAAATGTCTCCTCCACTAAGGCAGCTCATTTCTCTGACTACTGTGATCTGCTGCTGTAGTATTGGTTAAAATATATACACTGATGGACAAACACACTATATACATCTATCTGCACTGGTGTCATCTGAGAGTAGCTGCTAGTACTCACTGTCATGTTATTTGTGGATTTTTTTAAATTCTAGTTTAAATTTCCTTAATTTAAAATGTATATATCTCAGCTAGTTTGGGAACGCCTCGGGATTCCCCAGGAGGATCTGAAAAACATTGTAGGGGAGAGGGAGGTCTGGAATACCTTGCTCAACCTGCTGCCACCAACCCGGATAAGCAGCAGAAAATGGATAGATTGATGAAATTTAGCAGCATGCAAACAGCCTGCTTCAGCGTTTTCTGTCAGATCCAATTATTTTAGTTTATAGTTTATCCAGACAGAGCTTCATGCTCTGTGCAAAAAGCCGTTGGTGTGTTTATGCTGCACAGTATTTACTGTAGGATAACCAGCTGGAGGAGTAATTGATACACATATCCATGAAACTGTTTCAGTGCTTGAAAAAGTACAAGTCATTGGCTGTTACACTAAAGTGGTACGTGAATCCCTTCAGAAAAATTGCATCATTGCACTTTCTAAAGCAATAACAGTCTTGTGTATTGTGCAAAAAAGCTGTCTGCACAATATGAATCAGGCAGAAGGGCTGTAGCTGCTGTGAATCAGCGGCTACAGGGAAGTTGGGCTGCTACAATGCCTCCGTTTCTGTAGTTAAATTTAGAGACAGCATCCAATGAAGTCTGCTTTTTAGGAACAAAGTCCAAGCCTTCCCCAAAAGCAGCCTAGAAATGTTTTGCTCAAATGTGTTTTTGCAGCTCTCTGTATCCCATAATCCATGGTGCTAATCAGCAGGTTAATTGTTTAAAGATGCGTTCAGGCAATTCTAAACTCAAGGTCAGAAAGTATCTTTTGACCACGTCATAGGTTATCATAGGCCTTCAAGTGATCATCATTCACAAATGCATGACATGAACCAGACAAGTGAAAAAGCCACAGCAAGATGTGAATGATGGGAGGCAGGCATAAATTCCACTGGCTGTTCCTGAAAGCAACTTTGACATGTTAATCCCAGGGCATTCCAGATACAAAGTTAGATGGACATAAACTGTGAATATAAAGTGACACAACCCTTACTGTAAACAAACATGGATAATTATGGGCTTTCCTACTGCATTTAGCAGCAAATGCCTGGTAATAAACCTGGAAATTTGACTTTACAGTGACAAAAGCTAAAAAGGGCCTTTAGGTCCTCCTCAACTTTAAAGTTGGGCCATTTAGGGAGAAGGTAAAGGTTCAGCCTGGCCTCTGGGTCCTCTGGGTCCTCTGAAACTACAGTACGTGTCCAACACATGTACTGTACATGTAATTAAGTAAAACATGCTTCTGCCTGCAGTTAACACTGTTCTTTTCAACCAAAACATATATAATACTACCTACTCACTTCCTGTGTTACATGACTACAAAATCAACAGAAGTGTTCCGTAAGTAAGTTCCCCTCCAGTCAAAAATGTTTCTTGGTCCAGGTTTCAACTTATACTAGTTAGATGTAGAAACTTCAAGCCACTAGTGCACTGAGAATGGAATTTGAAGTAGGAAACATCTTGTGTCCAGCAGGAAAACTTGAGAAATGAAAAACATTTGCACGTTCATAGATTCTGGATTTATAATGAGGTAGAAGGAGTAGAAGACTAAAGATTTTAATGTAGACACTGATCTTTAATCGCTACTCCTGGAATTAACTAAATGTTGTGTACTGTAACTGAAAATCATCATTCTATATGCTCAGGCAAATATCCCTCCCATGTTAACGTGTGCATGACCACCTACCACAGTTGACTTCGTCTTCTCCATTGTCACAGTCCTTCTCTCCGTCACATTTCCAGAAGATGGGGATACACTGAGTGGAGCCCGCTCCGCAGCTAAACTCATTCACACGACACGTCCTCATGTCTGCGTGGACAAAAAAAACACAAAAATCAATGCGTTGTTTCATTTTTGTTCCGTTTTCTATGAAAGCTCACCTTTCGCTGTTGCTTTGGGCAAAAGGAAACCCATTTAAGAGACATACATTATTTAAGGACATATAGGAGTGTAAAATGAAGCGGACTGTGTGTTGGAGCCAAAAAACTGGCAAAAAGAAATGAATTGCCACCAACCAGGTTAATCTTTGTTAACTTGTGATTCCAAACCACATCAGAGTGAACAGTCATGGAAATCTACATGACTCTTTGACCTGGTCATTGTAAACCCATACACAAACTGCTGGCTATTATTTGTATAAACCTTTAACCCCGTTTCTAACTACACTATGTCTAAGCAAACAGTGGGATGTTGAGACGCCACTGAACATCCAAGGAGATAAGACCCTTTGTCGCACCACACTGTTTGTTGCCCCAGAACTCAGGAATGTGTAGCTGTGTCTCAAACAGGGATAAAAGGGACATGGCCTCTTTGATTTGTCACTCATTTGAGCTTTTACTTACACTGTATGTGACTGCTGCAAGTCCATTCATTGAGGACTGAAACCTTACAGTAAGACAAAATTCTACATTGTAGGCTTCATTTAAAGAATAGCCACCACAGAACAGACTGACCTGTATCCAACAGTTTAAAAAAAGATGTGTACTGCCTCTCGGATCATCTGATTTTATTTCAGAACAACAGTTTATCTGCATATTTGGAACTTCAAGGACACGGTCAAGCCTTGAGCTCTCATCACAAATTCTGATTTGGAATTTTCTGTTCAGAAGCATCACACAGTAACTTTTAGGTATGTTTCTCAAGTGCATGTGGAGTATGCAAAAAGAAGCAAGAAGAAAAATGTTCAAGCATTCTCACGTATAGGGCCATCACACAGCAGTAGTGGCTCTACTTGTTGCCTTTTGAGGGCGTTTTCCCCATGAAATCAGGTCCAAAAATAACCACGTCACAGCAACAGAATTTGTTGGAATTAGTGACCAACTTTAACATACATCTGACATAAAACAGACTGTACTGTGATTAAGGGCTGCTCATTGAAGCAGTAGATGCTAATGTGATACCTGGGTTTCACTACCAACACTATAAAACACCTTAGTTCAATGAAAATACTTTTTCTATTTAACAAAATAAACATTACTACGTAATGCACTGATGTTAAATAAGATATAATTGAAATATATATTGACAGAAAAGTTGAGAGAGACAAGTTTGCAGATTTATGTATAAAATATATATGATTAAAGAATGAGCAAACAAGCCAAATATAGATACATAATGGTCTGTATTTTGATCGACTGAGTGGTGGTAAAGCCCTAACAACATTACAATGCACCAGTTACAAGCAGGGAAGAAGAAGACTGCTAGCCAATGTAAACATGGATGTAAATAATGCACATTTCAATATATGAGAAATCTAATTTGAAAATGTATTATAAAAAGGGCAGAGATTCAGTCAACACATTTGTTACGCTTAAAATATCCTGAAGCCCTATGAAACCTAACATTTATTTGATTAATGATACAGATTTTTCTCAGTCCCTTAAAAGTTGACACTGGAGACAAATATTGTCACCTGACAGCAACAGTGTGAACCTGAGTAAACAAACCACAGATGGCTAACTAAAACCCAGGTTGTAACCCAAGTACTAATGGAGGACTCTGACATCCTGGTTGTATTTTTTAAATCAATGACTAATGCAGCTCACTTCCTTAATTCAACACTGATGCAAGAAAACTGACGTAACAACGACCACAGCGACTTCACACGACAACAGGAGACACGCACGCGCACACTTACTTTAGATTCCATTCCCTGTTGCCAAGTCATGTGCAACAGCTGGTCAAACAGTACAGTGATATAACAGCTATAGTAGCTGGGTTGACCTGCACGTACACCACTACAGCTATGACTGGAACTTGACACACACACACACACACACACACACACAGACACACACTACAAACAGGAATGCTGTTCAAGTCCTTCAGTTGACCGACACTCTTTTCCAAGTGCAAGCGGAGACAGACACACACACACAGACCACACACACACCTTTAATCTACACACCAGCCTGATGTCAGAAAGTTGCCAAGTCTAAAGAGGGAAAGATCAAATGGCCCAGCATAACTTTCAGTCATTCAACTTCTTTAATGTAGAACTTCAAAAACGTGGATTAGATAGGTATGGAGGAGACATTTTACCAGAAATAATAGGTGAAAAAGCTAAAGTAGTTAATAAGCAAAACCCTTTAGAGTGCATTTGCAAGGATTTACGAGTGAGATGCCGCCACACTAATGGCTTGTCTGCTTCCGCCTACAACCCAAATTAATCTATTAGTCTGATTCATTTGTTATGCAGAGTTGGGACCGATCAGACCTCATATCAGGTGCCGATACTGACCTCATTCACATATCAAATATCGGACTGACGTCACCAATCCATGTACTGACCCAGATTCAAAAGTCTGATGGTTTGATGAATTATGTAAAAATGCAATTTTAAGCCCAGTAATCAAACAGTTCTACAAAGATATTCAGTGATCCCGATACTTTGTCTCCCCGAGTTTGACGTTAGAAGGTTGGACTAACTCAAGGCTGAAAAAGAGACACAGAACAGAGGTTTTTGAGGATAATACAAATTCCTCCACAAGGTTTTGACCCGACGCGTACTGGGATGATCCAACCAAACATCCGTGGTCTGGGATATTACTGTAACATTAGAATAGAAATACATTTTGACATCCGTATTTTCCTCTCCATTGTCTAGGCTTATCCAGCAGCTGCTTTTGTTGGGCACTGTACCTACTTTATTTTGTCTTTCTAACACTGCAGAAACTTGGGAAGGTCTTGGCAACACCACACAGCCAACGGCTCTGAACAACTCAGATGCTTTAACGACTCCCCAAACTGCACCGCTCTTATTTTGGCAGCACTGCACCACAGATTCCAAATCCAAGAGTGCAGGAGGGATTTGCCCCGAGTAAGACGTAGCGTTGTTTTCTTTTCTGCCAGGGGTAAAGAAATTATTTTTGTATCATTTTCAGGCGTGTGCACTCAACCTGCTGTGTTGACAAACTGCAGCACAAACCAGAGAAGACGGCTCTGTGAAAAAACTCAGAGCTGGAGTATAACCCTGTCACGCACACATGAAACCCTCTGCTGCCCTGGCAAATATCACTTCACAAACACAGATGAAGTCTGGATAACTTGCAGTTTCTACTTTATATTCAGGGTCTAGTTAAAGAACTGGCTGCTTTTCTCTTTGTTCTTACTCTTCCATTTTTCTCTCCTCACTGTAAGATGGACCTTCGATGTTAAGAATCTTCCATACCATGTCAGATCTTCAATACCATTATTTTGGAACAGGAGCAGTCATCTATTAGTGTTCACCATGTGGTACTTCTATTAAAGTGGGTACAGTCTGAAGACAGTCAGTCAGCTAAGAGTTTAGTAAAATACTGTTATCATTTGTGACTAGGGCTGGGCGATAAATCGATTTTATCGATTCATTCGAATTCGTAAACTTACGATATTATTTTTTAGTTAAAATTCCTTATTTCATTGAACTTCCAAACCATCGGCAACTCCCTTTGGCTCCCGTAGGTTCAGAGTGCGCTGTATCCCTCCCCCCGCCTCTCCACAGATATGATAACAAACATATGGCAGCAAGCCAGTGATGAGTCGTTAATCCAAAATATAGGCTCAGTGTTCGTCGGTTGTTGGAATGGTTGGTTTGTGCGTCCAATCAGCGACATTACACAATGACCACTCATAAGTTTGTTGAAAGCTGCTGCAACCAAAGGTAGCAGTACGACCAATTTATTCCAGCACCTCAAGCAGAGCTGCAGAGCGAGTGGGAGAATGTTGTTACAGGACCCCAGCCCATAAACACCCGCTAAAAAAACAGTCTACAAGCAAAATCGATTAGAAATCGAATCGGGTTTGGTGTGAAAAAATCGGAGATTTTATTTTCAAGCCATATTACCCAGCCCCATTTGTGACAAATAAATTATATCCAAAATCTTCAAACCACAGACCCATAGTTCCATGTTATGCTCTAAACACACCTGAGTAACCTTCTCTATTGGTCTAGAGAACACCAGAGTAGGGCATTGCTTACCTATTTATTGTCATGATGAATTCATATATTTTCTATAGATTTCGATTGGTGTGTCCCACTGCATTTCTTGACTGCTTTGCACTTTTGAAGTCTATTTAACAAGTTGTGTGAGAAATATGAGCTTGTGCTTCACTGAGGATCTTTGACATTGTCTGTGGCAGGGTGGCAACTTCAGCTGACAGTTAATCAAACTGCAGTTAACGCTTTAGAGGTTATTCACATTGAAAATAGGAACACTGAATATAAAATGTGGTTTACATTTTCATTGAACTTATATTATTGTGAGTATTATGCATTACTGATTTTTTAAAACATTTTAAAAAAAGTCGTACAACCATTTGAGAAACACTGATATACATATAACATCACAAATACACATTTGTCTATTATTTGTACAACATACAATATCTTCTATCCTTAGATCCTCAATTCAGACAAAATCCCTTTGTGTTGTTTCTTAGCATTTGATTATATTTTCTCTTTTTTGTGGAACACTGCCTATGGATTATCCTTCAACTTTTACTGTGTATGCTAACCATAGTTCACCAGTTCTCCTTTTGAAGTACAGTGTATTCATGTACTCACTGTCACTTGTTAAATGAAATGCCTGATGAAGGTCTTTGTACTGAAGCTATTTAAGACATTTACTATGAGTAATTCAGTGTGCTGTTTTTTTCCTCTTTAATTACACTTCCTACATTTTTACTTTTATTGGATCTTTTCATACAAAACATCAAAAATGTTTCATTTCAGATTGCCATCAACTCATGCAAATGTTAAAGATTTATATGTGGCCTTGCACACAAAGCTTTAGCACCCAAGAAAAAGAAACTGGTTTATAAACAGTTGCTAACAGTTTATAGTCTTACTGCTAAGATATGAATAAAAAATGTTCAAGTCTCAACCCTCCAGCAACTCGTCTTTGTCCTTCACTGATACTAGTTTCATCTGGCAGTCTTGAAGTTGGGAATAGACACGAGGCTCTGTATTTACACTAGCAGGGATGAAAGATACTTTCTATCTCTCTTTAGTTGACTTCCAAAGAACATGCTTTAAGCATTCAGGAAGATTTCAGGAAACACAGTGAACATTAAACTAACAAGTGTTTGATGAAGTGCCTTCATCTTTCCTCTGATGTTCATCTGTGTACCTGAGGAGACGCCAAAGTCCATTAGTCTTTGCAACGGCACAGTGACGGCAGCGCAGACGAGAGATTCTCATTAAACGACGACTTTAGTATAAACACTTTTCATCATCACTTATCTACAACAAGCACCTCCACTAAACCTCCCATCACAGTTATACCATTTAAAGCCTCAGCAGCTCTCCTCACTTCCATTTAAACAACTTATTTATCTGACAGGGCTGCTCACAGGGGACTCCCCCTTACTGCTTTTACGTGCCTCACCACATTTCTGCAACAGTGAGACAGACACAGTAGGATGTCTCTACCACGCACTCCGATGGTCAAAAATGTTTGGTTGCTAAGACAACTTCAATAGTAATCGGCTGTATGTCTTACCTCAGTGGTGGAAGTAGTATTCAAAAACTTTACTTACGTATACCACAACACAAAAATACTCCATTACAAGAACGGCCATCAAAACATGACTTAAGCAAACAAGATTCAGCAGAGGGCCATCCACTGTCTGAGTGGCCTGACCTATGGCATGCCCTATTGACCCGTCAGCAACGTAAGCTAGAAATGTTTTGTTGTCTGTCTAACACTGCAACAACAACAAATCTGCAGACTCACTTGGGAACATTAGCTTGCCACCCAGGACCTAAAAAGGTCAAGAATTAATTTCCATGCACAAATTAGGTCCTTTTATTCATAAATGCAGTCCTAACACTTGTTTTACTGTACAGCAATACTCATGCACGGCTAACACTGAACTCAAACAATACGAGCAGATCTAATAAGGTTGAGCGAGTGCTCGGCTGGAACAAATATCCAGTGCATATAATGTACAAAATGTATAGTATCAAATGAGTAAAAGGTGTCAATATCTGTACTTGTAAATATAGCTTTATAATAAAAGAGTGATGACGTCTGTATAAAGGCTCATCTCCCAAGAGTGGCAAGCAAACACCTAATTGGAGCGTGCATCGGTTGGATCAACTGTTTTTAGGTCAGTTTGTCCTCAATGTTTTTTGCTTTAACCTGAACCTGTCACAGAGACTGCAGTAATTAAGGCTGCTCACAGTGACCGACCTCCTGCGGGACACTTGTGTACAAGCCCTGGATCTATACTTTAATGTTTTTTTTTTTTTTTTTTTTTTTTAAAAATGTCTGCCTTATTGTTAATAGGCTTTGTTGCTCTGCAAATCTCTGAATGAACCCATTTGTTCAAAGCTATTTCTAAATAACTGAACGAGTAGCTCACCTATGTACAGCACGATTCTCAGGTGGCAGATACAGAAAGAATAACAATCAATCATGCAGCATGCAACATATTTACTGAACAGTAAAAAGACTTCACTTGTGGGGCTTGCACTCAGACAGCTCGGTACTGCGTCATAATCGACATAAACCGCCAAACACAGACAACAGGGATGATCGATTTTAGAATGTTATTGTTTGGTTACCTTGTTTGATGCTGAGAAAGAATAATTGCACTTGTTAATGTTTGGCGTGGATTTAATATACTTTTGATATTCTCTATTTTCTTAATTGTCACATTCCATGAACAACAATAACGTCTGGTCACTTTTTTTTAAATAAGATTTCTTTGTCAGAATTGCAGAACATAACTAAGGCTGGACTGAATAAAAGGATAATGAGAATTTGATAGCTTCACACATTAACAGGGTTCCTTGGCAGCTGACTGATGTTGGAGTTTCTCACTACCACATAAAGGCATTAACAGTATCTGAAAGCACCTGTGTTCTGTGCACTACAGAACAATAAGTTCAACCAAGATTAACCTATGTGCCCACCAGTGCTGAGATTGGGGTCAGGGGTAGTCTTAAGAGGTTAAGCATACAGATATAAAACATGTCCTAAAATTACCTCTCACTGCCAAGTTTCAGTCTTTACAAGTGGATTTTTACAGTGCACTGCAATGAATAACTCAGCGACTGCCTGAAAGTCCCCAAGTCCGTCTTGGGAAGCAGTAACGTAAACTTTGTGATTTGTAGTAATTTGAGTAGAACTGTAACATCAGTAAGGTTCTTCAAAAATATCTTAAAAGTTTCTAGCATCACTTAATAATGAACTAAATCTGACTTGAATTCTGCATGAGGTTCATCAGAGATAAAACCATCTACTCACGGCAGATTTCTACGCTCTCGTCGGACCCGTCCTCGCAGTCTGGCTCCCCATCACAGTGCCATCGCTTCGGGACACATTGGCCGTTGCGACACACAAAGTCCACCTCTGCACAGGTCTTTCTAACTGAAGTGGGAGAGAAAAGAGATGGATTCATTAAACAGGAGAGGAAAGAGAGACAGACTTCATGTTCTTTAATGAAATTTCACAGAGAAATAGTAACACATGAATAATGGGTAAGGAAGGGGGAAAGACCAAAGTCCACCTTCCACCACTCTGTTGGGGTTTTTGAACAACAAAAAGAGAGCTCTGTCAATTTTTTAATACATCAAATTGCAGAGAGATGATTCATCTTCGACAAAACCATCTTTGTCCAGCGTAACACCAGCATGCACAGAAAATTAACCAGACAACCACCAACAGATTCTTTGTTGTTGTTCAGCCTGCTTGCAAAATTAAATACACCAGTGACAGTACATAGCTGCAAAATCAAAAGGTCTCCAACTAAACTGCTCAGGTCGTACAGCTTAACATATATTCATTATGAAAGATCGAATTATTATATTATTATTATTATAATTATAGGCTCTTGCAATTTGAATTATAACTTCCAACTGGGATTTTGATATAAAAACGACTAATATTCTATCTCCAAGTTATTAGGATCTTGTGCCAACAGAAAAAAGACACAAGATGAAACTATTCTGTTGAAATAAATGGTTTAATGCAAACTAGTATTCCTGATGGTCTGTCAGGAAAAGAGAAGATGGAATGTTTCAAGATGTTTAAGGGGTTTAACACAGTCTATAACACAACACAAACCCCTGAATTCTCTGCACCTTCATGTCCACACAGGGCTTGAGTGTCTCCTTGAGGCCTCTCCTCAGTCTCTCTGACCAGAATACAAATATGAACCTGAGAAACAACCAAACTCCAATTTGAGCCACGATGGCAGCAATTCACAGCGGGCCTCATTATCAGCCTCCTTTTATGAATTCATTTTGGATTCTCATCTTTCACACGTCCGTGTGTGTCAGTTCTATCGGGTTGAAAAGTTAAAGCAGCTCCGATCTCCCAGTAATGGAATAACAGAACAAATGCAACCAAATGTCAGCGGCTGGGAGAGAGGGCGAAGGAGTGACACTGCTAATGGTGACAGTATAGTGATGATGGACTAAAACACATTGTGGCCATCACAGTCACTGATCTGCTCCCGTTTTGATTGGCTGTTGATGCAAACTCGACATCCTCCATGTTTACCTCTTGTCTGAATAAATGTAATATAATGTACACTTCCACCAGTTCAACACCTGGTCATGTCCTACTCTCTACTCTTTTGTTCTCACAGAGTTTCTCCAACCATCAGTCATTTTGAGTAGCCTCCATTTGGCTTTTTTTGATGTTGAGCAATGAAAAGATGAAAAGATGAAGATGAATCATCAATGAAACAGCACTTCTGAAGTTTCCAGTCTTCAAGCAGCTCAGAGAGCACAATCCCTCCCATTGCTGGTAGGTTTTTATTTTAAAAAAGTGGTTCATTGCAGTAACTGCTGTGGAAATGTACATTACACTGAATTCATGTCATTAATCTTTTACCACCTTCACCTTTCCTTGCAAAAAATCCTGTATATTTATATCTGAAGGGGATCTTCTGCTTATCAGGATTTGCTCCCTCCTTATCGCCCTGCAGTACGATCTGTTCTTTTTCTCCCCCTCCACCCTTTGCTTTCTGCCTTTTTCCTCACTCATTTCCTTCACTGGTTCTTTCCTCCCTTCCTCACGGTCTCATATGACCCAGATAGAGGAGGGACAAAAGAAAATGGAGAAAGATCGGAATTGCATTGGACGGACACACACACACACACACACACACACACTCGTAGCCATATTTAGCTCTGCTCTATCTGCTACCTTCCCATCACCAGGTCACTCTGTCCCAGGGGACGCTGGGAAGACTCCTGGTGGGGCCAAGCTAATCTGAAGGGTTCTGAATGTCATGTGATATCTGTGTGTAAATGTGAAGTAGTGAGAACATGTGTCATCCATTCTATAAAACATACTCTGTTAGTCTGCATAACAACTGAACATAAACAGCAGGCTTTAAGGTTTATCAGTGATGTGAACACTGGAAACCATAGTTTAAGCCCTCAAGATGATCGTCAATGCTGCTGAAACAGAGCAAAGCTATATACAAGATGCTACAATTGTATTAGGAAGTAATGTGCTTTACAAGAAATTGCATGTGCAAACACGAGGGATGGGCATCGTCATTTTAATAGTACTACTACACTGACTGATACTAATCAGTCCGGTGCTTTACGGGCAGTCCTATGGGTTCTTTGGTATTTTTCAAGAGATAACCCAAAAAGAACTAACACAATATAAAATCAAATGCATAGCCGTTTCTGTACCACAGGTCTCTTTGAGATTATGAGATTTTAAATGCTCTGACATTATTGCACCCATATTTAGCTTAACAATCAGCTGGCTAATGGTTACTTTTAATTACTAATTCACGTTTGTATAATTTAGTTAGCTCGTCTCTGGTTGCCCCATCCACCTCATGTATGCAATCAGCCTAGAGTCCACTCAGAGTTATGAGCTTGAACATGTGATGTATGTGATGTAATGTTACTTTCACTAGAAATTTGGAAAGGTCGATCTGTTTCTAACCTTACAGGCAAATGACTTGTTGTGGCAATCTGTGGCAACGAGCGTTGGCCGCAATCCACAGACTGTAGTGAAGTGTAACCAGACTTTTTAGCGTCTCTCAGTCTCACAACCAGGGTGTGTATGTGCATGTGTGTGAGTGGGGCAGAGAAAGCTTGCCCCGCCCTACGCTACAGGCTCCAAGAAAGAGCTCTCCTCTGGGTTGGCAGTAGCCAAAATGCATCATAGACAAATGTGTTCATTTCTCCATAGTCATTTGTGAGAACTTGACCATTTATAGACTAAATTAATCTGGAAAAAGAAATCAATTAGCTACCAAATGAATGATCTTTAGAGTCCTACAACAATGGAGGAAAATGATTCCTCGATTATTCAAATTCATTGCTGAAACTTATTGCTGCTTAACAGATATATGCATCCATTTTCACATAAAGCTGGCGTAATGAACGGGGGCTTTTTAGAGTAAAATACGCTATTCTGTGGCGCTTCATGAAATGTTTGTGATACAACCAAATGCAGTGCCAGAGCTAGTAACGGCAGAGAAACACACTACTGGCACAGCCCTACCAATGTAAAAAGTTCATCTGGCACCCTGTGAGGTGACCTTTCAAGACACGACTCAGACTCCATTTCCAATGTCATTTACATATTGTTCACTCTGGCAGGAAAACATGCTTAATTGTATCCAAGATAGATTGTCATCCATTCGCCCACACTCCATCAAAGGCCACATTAACAGTGTAAATAGAATACATTTCCAGCCCACAGCCAGCACAGGAGCACTGGAAACGGCAACAGAGGTTAACAAAAAGGCAGTGTGTTAAAGGATAATGCTGCATTCACATTCACATTCTGAACGGCACAGGAAAAAAAAAAAACTGTCCGACGAAATGGCAGGACAGCAAAACGAAACTCACATGATGATATGCTTCTACGGTTATGTTGCATTGTTTCGAAAAAAAGGAGTAAAATAAAATTGTGTATATTATTTTATACAATTATTTAACTTCTCATTGTACAGATCACCCATGGTTTTTCCTTGTGTGAGGGAGCAACGCAAGGAGGGGGAACGAACATCGACTTGATGAGAAGAACCTTAATCGACGCGCTCTTTAATTGGATAGTTGCACAATGGGGATGAAGACATGGTGGCTTCAGACAGGGACAGGAGAGGCGTGAACCTGAGGAAGAGGAGCGAGTTTGTAGCTAGTTCATTTTTAACTAACTGTTAACGTTATACATCCATTGTGTCAATTGTATTGTTTTTGTGACATTGGTTGAAGTTACTGATTCCGTGTTTTGAACGACACTGTGTGATGTTACACTGTTGAAAGAAATTAAAAGTTCAGTCTCCTTGGTGGTTGTTCTGACACATTCACAATCATAACTGCTTTTTTCAGTATCAGTTAACAGGCAACTGTTAAAATATCTATAACATGACAACGAGCTGACTATTGGCTTTATTTAACTACTACAAATCTTCAGTCTGGGGCGGCCCTGGTAATATCCAGCTATAAACTGCATCGTGGAGTACGGCATCTACCATTACCCGTATTCTCTGCTGGCCTTACTTATCCATCCATTAAAATAATATCCAGTTTGTCTACCGTCTGTCTGAATCCATGTGAATGCAGCAGAACACTGGTGTTATATTTTTGTTATTATCCCAAATATTGGAACCAAAACTAACAATATGTTATTCCCTCTCTCAATGGTTTGATTCCCACTGTCTGTGGCCCATTGGTGAAAAACAACTCACAGCAATGTGGTTTTATTTTAAAAAGTTTAAATTTAAGTTTAATCATTTCCTTAAACAGCTGCCCATTGTAGTGCATTTGATGGGGACTATTTTCAGTTTGTGTATTAGTTGTGTGTGGGAGTCAAAATGTGTTTCTAATGTTTTAGACAACAATGGAGCTCTATGGCACAGAATGATTTTCAGCCTTTGGCTTGGTCTCTATACAGGAGTACTTTAAGAAGGTAAGGAAAGAGAAAGCACATTTCAGTGACTATGAAAGGTCTGGGGAGCTGAGTGTTTTTCAGGAGAGACTGTCTAAAGTTCAGACAGTTATGACGGTGTTACAGATTGTGTTACAGATTGTTTCCACATTGGCACTCACTGTAACACAATCATTCATTCACAGACGTTACTCAACACAAACACTCCCTTGCAGTCCTCTGGTTCCATTTCAGTTCTCTTTATTATTGGTGTATATTCTTGGTCTCCAGTGGTCTTCTACTGGCATTCATGTTGTATGCAGTATGTCAGGCAGTATGTGTCAGTGATGGAGGTGTCTCACCACAGGAGCTCTCATCACTGCCGTCGGTGCAGTCCTCATCTCCGTCACACTGCCAGATGGACGGGATGCAGCGACCGTTTCCACACTGAAACTGGCTGGCCTCACATTCCGTCTTAGTACCTACAGAAGAAGACAGACAGACAGACAGAGGTGGTATGAGGGAAACTCAAGATAAGGTCCCAAATGCTTTCATAATCATCATTTAGCGTTTAGATGTCATTTGCCTTTAGTTTGGTCCTCGCAGGGCTCCCTGCAGTGCTGTCATTTCAATTCTAATTGTTTTAAACAGAACCAGCTGGCCCTCAGAGCAGATCTACCACCGGTTTGTTGTGTTTCGTTTGTTTGGGTTTTTTTATCTTCGTTGTTTTTTATTGGTTGGGGGTGGGTTGTGTGTTTTTGTTTTTTGTGTTTTTTTGGTTTTTTTTTGTGGTTTTTTTGTTTTTTGTTTATAGTTGTTTTTGTTTTTTTTATTTTGGTTCGTTTTGCGTTTTGTTGTTTTTTTATTCTTTTTTTTGCTGTTTGGAGTCCTTACTGTGGCAGACCGCCAGCTCTGTCCGACATGTCTTGATTCCACCACACATCTCTTTTTTTTCTTTTCTGTGCTTTTCTAACTATACCCTTTGTTTTCACAGATTTTTATTTGTTTTTTAACCCGTTACATTGAGGTTGACTAACGCCCTCCTGTGCTAACACCCCTCTTCCTGCTTGTCCCCCTCAGGAGTTTTTATGTAAGGTTATGTGGTGGCAGTAAATTAACTTCCATCGTAGTCACTACTCATATTGGCTCTAAACAGTGTTATCTATGCAGCTCTATAGAGACAATGAACAGGCCATATAAACCCTTTCTGGAATGATAGCGTGTGCACATTGAGGTCTGAACTGGCACGCCCTGTGTTTGCAACTTTACATAAAGTGGCATCAATATTTCATGTGTTCCACTGTCACCTGAAGGACATCACATGTACAAGGACTGATGTAGGGATTTCCATGCACAGTAGAACCTCATTTCTGACTTTGATTTGATGAAATCATTAGGCTGGTAGCTTTCTGAATTAAGTTACTGACATGAGAAAGAAGAACACAAATGAGGTTCCACAGAAGAACCATCCACACACTGGCAGTCTATTCATCAGTCAATGGACACAATGTTATTGTTAACAATTTTCAAAATGAAGTCAAGTTGATTAAACATTTGACTTAAGGGTCATCCTG